CCTCGTCTCAGCTCACCCCAGGGGCGGGGCTGGCACAGTAGCTGGGATAGAACTCTGGCCACTGCGCTCTGCCTAAGCAGGCGCTTTAGTCCGCTGAGCTATCTGGCCAGCCCTCAAATCCTTCTTCATCCAGGAACCTTTTCCTGTCTTCCCAGGGACAGGAGCATCTTACCCAAACACGACGTAGCTGTCTCGGATCACTCAGCATCTTTTAGATGCTTGCTTTATTTACTGAATTGTAAGCCTTAGGTGAGAATGGGAGCCTGGTCACCTCTATGAGTCTGAAGGACACAGCACCGTGCCTTACTCGTGGAAGTGCTGATCAGCGCTTCCTACCATCAACACATTACCTAATCATTCCATTTTGACTTGTTGTCATGAACATGAACTGCAAAAAGACAGTTCTATAAATTACCCACACTATCTTAGTTGCATCTACCACAGTTAGGTTGGTATATTGGGGGGTGATAACTGATTCCATTCAGAAAAAGGCTCCGCTTCTCTGAATACATTTCATGGTTGCTTAGCACGTACGAATTACCTTGTGTTCTCTCTCTCTCTCTCTCTCTCTCTCTCTCTCTCTCTCTCTCTCTCTCTCCTCCCCTGCACCCCCCCCCCTTCTTTCAGGAACTAACACAATTTCCATTTCTTTTTCGTAGGTAAATGTGAATGCAAGGAACAGGTATTGGAGAACTCCAAGGCGTTCTGCAGAATGAAATACACATACGGTGAGCGTGAAATCCTCAGGTACCTCTGAGAACCTAGTCAAACTCAAGAGAGTCTTTCAGAAAACTTCAGGAGGCCTGAAGGGTGACGTTGGCACACTGCTTAGCATGGAGGAGATGGCAGGGAAGAGGGACAGGACTTCTGGGTCAGTATGAGGTCTGAGACTAGCTGTGCACCTGTTTCCTCCCCAGATTCTCTGAATCTCTGGGCCCCTCTACCTTTCAAATACAAGAAAAGTACATCATATATGAAAAGGGCAATGGTACTGTTACTACCTTCAACTTCTAAGTGGCTTGCATTGACTATGAACTATAGTAGCATAGCTTATCTCAGTAACATATTGTTGACTAGTGCTGGAGTCCTTTGACTGCTCCACAGTTTATAGAGCCTGATATATGCATTGGAACGAAGAGGAAGCTGTAAATTGTGCTTTCGGAGGCCAAGTCCTGTACAGTGTTTAGGTTCCTGATAACATTGTATTTAATCTCATAAGAGATTAAAAAGTAAGTGGTAAAAACCACATAAATCTTAGCAACAATTATATACACACTTCCACCTCTTCGCCTCCCAACTTGGCTAAATAATAAAAGGAAACTTTTGAAATGTACACTGCCCAATAAAGGAAAAGCAGTTTGTAGGGAACACGCTTACTGTCACAGCAAGAAACACGGCAAATTAGTCCTGAAGCAGCTCTGGGAACATCAGCTGCCGCTCATTACCCCAAGAGGCACCCCTCCAATGGAGAACAGTCTGTCGATAAGCTATGTTAATTTTCTACTTTAAAAAGCTTGAGCATTTTTAATGATGCAATAAAACACCTTTGTCTTAGTGCGTTATAGCTGAAGATTTAGAAAAAAATGTTTTTTCTTTCTCCAT